TGCATAGTATTCCTAAGCAGAAAGAATTCACACAGTACTGGAAAAGAGGGAGGGGCCAAGGGGTATGGTACATAAACATGCTTTCAAGATTAAAATTTGCATATTATAAGAGACAAATAGGATATTTCAGAGGACATTGGTTTATTAATTCATCCTTGAAAATGTGTAATTTCTTGCTTCCTCATACTTGTAACTTCCAAGTGGAAATTCATCAAGTCTTACCATGGAAATGGCAATAATGAATTTTAGTTGCATATGTCACATTTTTGATGTGGGACAATGGTTACAATATGTAGTGGGTGACATGGGGGATGACATTCAGGTGGAGCTGGCCTGCAAAATCTAACCAGTTTGCTGACTATAGACAAGAACCAGCCATCTTGAGTGTTGCTATATTCATCAGTTGACAGCAATTGTGTAGGCTGTCAGAGAAACAGATCAAAATTCCACTGCAATAAAGGAGGGAGATATCTAGACATGGAAACGTCAGCTCTTGTTATCCAGCACCAAAAAGCACAAAAACAAAAGGATGACGGCCTTTCAGAAACAGTGGGGGAGCTGGTTATTTTTGAAGCAACACTATCTTCGCTCCTGGAATGAGGTGCGTGCAGCAACTCAGATTGCTCAAGCATAGATGTCATTTTCTAACTTAAACCTCTCATATTTCAAAAGTACAAACAGCAGGATTTGCATGATACTAAGATGGTTGTTTAAAAACAATTAACAATTTAAAAACAAGATATACAATTTCTATGGAAATTTTAGTATTCACCAGAAGTAAAATAATAATAATAATAATAATAATAATAATAATAATAATAATAATAATAATAATACAAAAAAATAAAATTGTGTATGCATTTCTAATAATTCACTTTGTGTTTAACTGCCAACCCAGCAGGCCTTATAAATATTGCTTTAGCATTTAATGTAAATAAATGCTTTCCCATAAACACTGTGTACAACAGATTACATAAATGACACCAAATTATACAGGCCTTTGCCTGAGATCAGCAATCAGATGATGAAAATGTAACCAGTTTTACTTGAAGTTTGACCCACATTGACCCTTCAGAGATGTTTCATTTCCTATCCTGTGACAACATTTGCAGACAACATACTGATTCAGAGAGAGAAATTATGAGGAATCCATAACCATAAATACTCACCCTCTACCTGCAGCTTTAATGAATCACATCAATAAATTCCCAGCCATTTAACAGAGGAGAAAGAAGAACAGAGCAGCTGTCTGCATGCTTGGAATTTTTCCCATAAATGATAAGCCACACAGACACAGCACGAGAGATTCACAGAAAGAGACAATTACATTAACTCAGGTGTTGTGCACATCTGTAAGCAGCTAGTTAAAGTTCTTGCTCTGAAAAGTAGGCTTCACTTAAAAAAGTATAGGATTTTCATCTGACTTATGTACAATTTTCCTGAATAGTGACTTGTGTGCAATTCTTATCCAATCACATCACAGACCTCTTAAAGTGCGCTGTCCAGGACTTCATCCACTTTCAAACTGAAGCCACTTTGATCTGTCATTTCATTAAACCAATTCCACTAAGTAATTGAGATGCATTTCCATAGATGATCATGCCCAGAGCTCATTCATGCCAGTGGGTAGTAGTTTTTAAATAAGTCGTTTTTTAAATTTTAGTACTCACATATAATGACATGGTTAAAGTTGTAAAAAAATTCAGTTTTAAGCTTAATAATTATAATTCATGAGCATAATTTAATAAAGTTGGACTTAAAATGATGTGGTTTATTTTCTACCTAAACCCTCTGGGATTTCTAATGTATTCGATGGTAGCTGGGGATAAATCGAGGCACTAGCTTCACTGTGGGTGAGCAGTCAATATAATGCAAACGATCCCCAGAGTTTATTTCTCTGGATGAGTACTATTCAAAATATTTTGGCTTTATTCTTTAATCACTTTCCAAGCTGATTTACTTCCTTTCCTAAGGCAACACATCTCTATACACGCCATTTGTGAGAGCTGATGTCAGTTACAGTTTTACCGGCCAATCGGCAGGGCAAGTTTACTTCTGTTTTTAAAATTGCGTATTGTTTAATGTGGGTCAAGTTTTCAAATTTTTTAAAAAGATAAAAGGGAAGCAAGGTGAGAGCTTGGAATTCAAAAGTTTTGCACATGTATTCTTAAAACCCTCATAAATCGCTGTTGAAAGTTTGCAAAATATTGGTAGAAATGTCAGTTGAAAGTTGAGCCCAGTGTGGCTGTTTTTTTAGGTTGATAATAACAATTCCCTTTCAATCGAGTGCAGGCCAAAACTATAAATGCATAACAGGAAAAAAAGTGACACAAGATACATGGACTCATAAATACATCATCAAAATGTACTGCATGAAGAAGTCCCATTGATTAGCTTGCACTTCAGAATCGACTTGTGAACTAGATGTAATGAACCATACCTGAATTTACAAAGTAACAAAGGTTACTTTTTGGAGGGGTTAAAAACAACTGAGATTTCAAAGTGCATATAAATATAGTGGAATTACAGGAATTTGTTCACTGAAAGAGATTAGTTTAGCTGTATTTTCCTCTATCAGGTATTTCAACATTAAAAAGCAACAGTATTTGTAGACACTTTTTGTAAGATTTGAGACTGAAATTTCACAAGAGCATTAAGAGAAAATGTTAGCTTTTTTATTTGTAGCATACTATAGGTCATTAATTTTGTCAGTTTCACAGGGTTTGAAGCATGTCTTTTGCTTGCTTGACTGCAAGGATGTATATTTGAAAATTATTTCTTTTAAAATGACAATTTCAGCCTGTCATTGTCATGACTCTTTGAAGCAAGTGAAAAAAGGCACTCCTGAAGTCAAACTGAATTTTCAGCGACCCTGTGACATGCTACAAAGTGGCCTTTCTGTTGTACGGAAACGAAGTAATGCCCGGGGGGAAACATCCAACTGTGCTGTCGTCTACTTACATCACCACTTGTAGGAGAGGGTGGGAGGGAATATGAGAAGGAGAGCTAATTCCAATGGAATACGAAGTTCTGTAAGCACAACATGCAACAATTCAAATGCTAACAATAGGAATTCAATTGAGGTTCTTAAAGTCAACAGAAAGAGTTTTGTTCATTGAAACATACCCAGTCAGCTTTTTTTTGTTTTTGTTTTGGTGGAAAAAGTGACCTGTGGTTGTTTCTCTCACAGCAGAATTCATTGTACACAGCATGAGTGTACAATCCATGTGACTGAACAGGCAAGACCAGCAGGGAAGACAGCAATGTTGCAAGCATATGGCACTTTTCACAAAGCACACATTAACTGTAAACCAATGGGACACATAGAGACTGAAATATCCACAGTGGGTGTCTCTGTATTGTTAAATGCAATGAACAATATGACAACTATGCATATACTAAAATCTTTCATGTTGTTGTTTCAAAAACCTTAAAATCCATAAACATTTATGTAGATAAGAGGAAAATTATCTAAAATGATCTTCCAAAATGTTTGAAAGTTTAAAGAACTTTAATCGACTTACCAAGAGTAGAAAAATCCTACAGCACAATTTTAATTTCTGTTAGTTCATTGCAGAGAAATCACCATCACCAACAGTAACCACACAAATGACCAAAGGGAAAACTCCCAGTCGGACCACAACACCTAACAGGTACAAGTCTCGCAGTGACATAAACGTTTACTACTATGTACTACAGGACCTAGCCAACATTTGAAATGCTTTGGGACCTTGTGGGAAGATTATGCTTTTTATTACAGCTAGTTTGTGGTCCTGGTAGTGTGTTTTTGTACTCTTGGTGAGAAATATCCTTGGGATATTATCCTTGGCATTTTAAAATGCCAGGAATGGGGTCATACTGGTGACCTAAAGGCTATGTGCCCATAAGAGGCAAGCAAACTCACTTGTGGGACTTGTGGTCCAGGAGGCTGTCGTCCAGGTCGAGGAGAGCGGATGCATGGTTGAAAAACTTCCTGCTGTAGATGAGAGTGTTCCTCCGGAGGGACAGCAGGCTCTGACAGAACTTGAGCCCCATCTCCTGCAGCTCTCTCGTACCAGTCTGCAGACCCTGGGACACAAAAACAAACATGCTATTAACAACTGCCCCAGTCCCTGCCAAACCGCCAACTTTGCATGTAAAAAGCTAATGTATGGCACACCCATACATGAAAGCTAATCAGGAAGTGTCCATTTAAGTACACAGAAGCTCATATGTCCTTTGGCATAGATGACTTACTGCTGAAGTGCATTTGAAAGGGCTCTGTCTTCAGAGCATTAGTATGTACATAGTGTAAATCCTTTGTTTGCTTTGCTTGGGAATCTTTTAATGTCATAATGACTACAGATAATTGCTGTACAAGTTGACTGCAGCTGCTTGCTCAAGCATGTTATTAGCACATGTTCATGGTATGTTTCTCCTGAGGGATTAAAAAAAAAAGAAGTCCCCTAGAACATAGAAAATTGTGTGCGTGTGATTATAACATAGCATGAACATCCATGGAATGTTTATCAAAGTATACACTTCTTTAACATTACACACATAACAGTTTTCCTCTTCCTCTTTTTAGCATTCTTACTATTAATTTTGAACATAACATATGCATTTTGTATCTTAAATTACTCTCTGTATAACTCTCTGTGTATCATGTAATGACTTTGACTTTTTGGACTTTGAGAAGTCCAAAACACAGTGAGTTCAAAGGGTTCAATACAGGTTCATAATGATGCATGGTCAGAGGGATACAGTTGCAGTATATGAGCAACATGAAATACTGTTAAAATGAAGGCATGATACAGACAAATAGACATCAAGATATTACCTTTAATAGTAAATTGTAATGCAATACAGACTATGAGAACCATTACATTATAGTCATTTAGCTGATGCTTTAATCCAAAGAGATTTACAGTTGATTATGCTAACCAAGGGCCAATCCCCCTGGGAGTAATGTGGGGTTGGGGGCCTTGCTCAAGGGCCCAGCAGCACTGGTGTTCATGCTGTGGCTAGTCTGGGACTTGAACCACCAACCTCAGGGATCTCAGCCATGTACCTTAGCCACTAGACTATAGGCTGACACTTAACCAAGAAAAGCAAGCTAAAATGCTATCATATCTCACTTACTGCTGCAGGATTTCACATGACTTTTTTCTGACTAGTGTTTCTGGGTGCTTTTGGTGCCGTTTGCTTATGTAACATAATCCATGGTGCCCTGCTTTCCCTACGCATACTGTTATGACTTGTGCAAGTGTTCTGTTTTCATCTACAGTCACCTTAACGGGAGAATGAATAGTGTTTCTGCGAGAGTTCCAATTTTCCACATGAGTCTCTTTCTTTTTAATCCTGTGTTTAGAACGCGTTTGCTTCCATCCACCATTCCCCCCTGTTTTGCCTCTGCAGAAACAGTGTCTGTAGATAAGTGGAGAACACGCTCTGCATTCACAATGAGCCAGAGCCCTCAGTGGGTCCCGAGAGCTCCCAGCTGCCTCCTCCGCCTCGCCTCTCACCAGGGGAACTGTGTGAGGGCGGGGGGCCAGGCTGCCATGAGTGCGACTGCGTGCATGTGCGTGCGAGTGTGTGTCACCCTCGCCATTGGCACACATACTGCATCAGACCAACATGAAGCATGAGTAGACGGGCTACTTTGACTGTGAAGAACACTATGTTCAAGGGATACCTCTTCAATAATTTACAAGTAGAGGAGGTTTACATGGACAGAATGTATATTAGTGTGGCTGTTTACTTGGGGAGAAAATCAATTCTTTCCGTGTTTGCATTGTGCAAGCCACATTGACCATCCTGATTTCTAGTCAGATTTGCCTTTGCTCTAGGGCTTGTCAAATGTCAAATTGTTTGACAGGCCCTGGTAAGTCATGTAAAATTAAAATTTATTTTTTTCTTGTTAGTTGGAACACAAACAAATACAGATATAGAGCCAGAATCCTCTGTGAGATTTTGTTTACCAATATTTATTTCAATGAATTTACATCAATTCAACTCAACTCATTCAAAACATGTCAAAGATATTACACATGGACATGAGATATATGTATATATATTCCTGTATATAAAACTGAAATATCATTCTCATATTAAATAATATTTAAAATAATATTTCCCCTTGTTGTTATCATTGTTTTATTTATTGCCTTTCTTGGAACTATAACTCTGAAGTGATCTAGAGTTAACATTCAAAGTCTATAAAAAGTCATCACTAATCAAAAATTCAGATACATTTTCTATGAGAAGTTATGGCAGCATAGATATATGCTTTATATCCATATTCACTAGTCAACAGGACTCATTTAGTTCAAGCCAAAGAACAGAGATAGGGAGAGCTTTCTATTTTGCATGTTAACTTGGACCTCAGGTTTTTCTGCAAAACTTGATTTTTCTGCTTTTTTTCTGGAAGTAAAGAGAAGTGGGGTTTGTTTCAGTGTGACGACCTGATGAACCATAGCAGTATATATGAAAGGGAAATTATCCAGACCATATGAGGGGTTCTAGACCTCCACAGACCCTCGCTCATTTTGAACCCTGTGATTTGTTTTAATGACCCATCTCTAATGTAATTTCAACCGGAAAACTGTATATAAAACACTCTTAAAATAATCACCTTCCGACAGCATATGATATTATTAACCACATGTGGAATCTTTTTTTTTTTTTTTTGCTATGACTCCACGTGTCCAAACAATCAATCCTATGAGTCAATCCTATGAGGATTTTATAAAAGAAAAATAATAACTCAGGACTTTGTGTGGATTTTGCAGTTTACAAAATCGCTGCAGGGCATTTTATGCTTTGCAGAACGGACACCAAAACACATGTCATGCACATGAAAGAGTAATCATGCTCTTTCCGTGGGGCTGATCCATTTGTTTTTTTTATTATCTTCTCCTGGTGGACCCTATTAGCTCTAAGTAAATGCCACCATCCAAGTTGTTAGCATTATGTATTTTCATTTCATGCTGTTGATAATAGCACGGCTTTAATACAATATTAAATATTTAGACATACATGCCACATTCCACACTGTGCTCTGTTTGTTCTGTAGTTCATCTGAGTTGTGAGCAGAGTAACTGAAAATAGCCATGCTACTCCTCTCAATACTCCATTCCTTACTGAAAGACATCACAATATGAATAAAATATGTGTTCAGGATAAATAAAAATGAAGTGAGTCCTCCCCCTTACTTCAAATATACATGTAAAAAAAAGTATATTTTCAAAAGATAGGGGTGCCATCTATTGGTCAGTCTTTTCCCCCCGTTCTCTCCTCCCCTGCAGTGTTTCAATTTTGGCAGTGACCTAGGAAGCTTGTCTTTAGCTGGGTTTAGCCCCAAAAATTACCTGGTTCAAATTTAACCCAGGAGCAAGCACAGGCACACCAGGACAGAATGCTGAGGGGAAGAGAAAAAAAAAGGAATTCCCGGGTGTTCCTAAGGGCCGTGCTCAAGCTTTTAGTTTTTCTGCTGTGTTTGATCCCTTATTCCTTCCTCCAGGGTGACAGGCAATGAGACAGCATGCAATACCAGAAGGTAGTGATGTTAAATTTCACACGCTGCAGGACACAGAGGCTGAAGGACCAGCTCAACCTATTGGCCATCAGCCAAACGGTTCTAACAGAGAGGCCAACAGGACCACAGGAACTGAGACTGTGGTCAAGCAGCAGGGAAGCGTGATATGCGATGTTAATATCATGGAGCTCAAAGACATCTGTGAATGTAAATATTGCAAAATGTTTTCTACTGATTACTTATAATAATATGTGTAATATGTAATGCACATGTTATGATACATATACACATTTAATACACTATGACTGTCATTGGAAAACAGGCCCCTCAGCTGCCATTCTATTTTCTGAAAATACTTGTTTTATTCACAAACTAATCACTAAAATGAAACAAATTAAACATAAACACATTCAAGTCAGTGAGGCAGGGAAAGAATGTCTTAGATGTACACAATATTTTAATGATGCTTTCTTAGCTACAATGAATGTATGTAATTGCATTTACCCAGATGAAAAAGTTCCAGATGGCCAAGCTGTATTAGAATAGACTTGCATGAAAAAATATGTTCCTTCTTAAAACTCTTGTTGGTTACACTCATGGTCACTGAGACCCATGTATAGGTAAATCCCCCCCCAGTACAGAGTGCCTACAATGGCCTATACCCAACCTATAATTGCATTAATTTACATATTATTATAGTGAATGTATAACAGTTACATAACTATATGATGTTGCTCACCTTTTTTTCAGAAATTAGGGCAATTATTCAAGTTTTTATTCTTTTATATTAAAATGAATGTATACCAGCAAATGGCCTGAAGTGTGGGACAATGTTTTAATCTCTACAGCATGCTAAGTAGGAGAATCTGTTATTCTGTAATTTGATTTTTTTATTATTAAGGATTATTTTTTATGAAAAGATAATATGACTTATTATATTCCACATGGTAAGCCTAAAAATTCAGCATTTATGCAGGAGCTCAAACACTCAAATACAAGGAGTAACAGTGTTTGCATATGTTGTACTAGCAAAACTCACAAGTCAATATCATGCTGATCATATTAACATCTCTCAACCTCCAAGAGCAAACATTACTTTAATCTTTCCTGACAGAGATGGCATTGTTTGAGTAACAAACCTTCTCTATTAATTTAGGAGTGCAATTTTCAACATACTATGTGCATAAATGAAAATACATATCCATTACATACAAAAATTTCACCCAATCCAGAGTTGTGGGAGCTGGATCTCCCCATATTCTGGACAAAGCTTAGGGAGACACCCTCCAGGTCACCAGTCCATTGACAGGCCACACGAACAAACACTCACCCACAATGACCCTCAGTGCTAAGCACTGAGCCACCATAATACGGCAAACCGCAAGGACTCTAGCATGCTGCTAACCATGAGATTTTGGATCAAGTAAGGATTTCATTATCTCATAATGACTATGCTCTCTTAGGTTGATTACTTGGTTTTTTACAAATATTGTTGGGATGTGGTCAAGTTAGATCCAGTGTAACAGTGACATAGCCATTTTTAATGTGGTGTTAAATTTTATGTTTAAAAGGACAAAGCCTTGGTTGAGTTGATCTTAATTGCCTTGCAACTGACCTACATTCCTTGAAGTGAGCTGAAATGAAAAACAAGGTTAATTTACACTGTAACAAAAGGACAATAAAAACCTTTAAAAATAATTATAGTGTTCCACTGCTGCTGCTAATGCACTGAAAAATTGTCATATACTTTACATAATTTGATGATATAGTCTATTGTTCCAATGTTCTAAACCAAGTAGTTAGCTACAGCACTTTCCTGAGGCTATTGCTGTAGATCTAGGATGCATGCTGAAAACATGCACTGCACTCTCTCTCTATGTGTACTTTATAAATATAATGGCTAATCTATATGTTGATTCATTGAACATCTGCTATAAGCAAGTTTATGTCATCATTAACTATGGTAACATTTGTCTAAAATTGCCTAAACACTTTGCTTTGCTTAAAACTAGGTGATTAGCTATATATCAGTGAGTGCTTTTCAATTGAATTCTACAATTTTAAACATGCACATTGCAATAGTAAAAAGCATGTGATGCAGCTTGTGTGTATGATATATATATATACAACATGAGACACATTTGTGAGTGACTGCATGAAATTCATAATATGCAATTGGTTAGTTCAAAAATGAGTAAGCCTTTAAAAAGGTTGTGTACTCTGTGGAACCCAGCTCATGGATGGGTGAGGGAACAGCTTTTTGATTGCATGCTTGAATAAGATTTAGGCCACTTTAAAAGTTGTGTTATACATATTTTAGCAGCATCTTGTTACCCGAAATGTATCTTCTAGCACAGGTTTTCTGAAGTTCAGTGGGACTGCAATTCAGGGCACAGATGTACTCACAAAACATGGCCAATGTAAATGAAACTCACCAATCATTTCCAAATCACAAAAACATGGAATGGAAGGCACCCTGTATGGTATATACTTTCTATTGCTTGACTATTTCATCTATAGGAAGATGTCAGAAAAGATGCTGGCTCACTTTTATC